TTAAATGAAGCTCATATACAAAAGACAAACTCTAATATTGTTAATAACTATTTTAAAAAACTTTAAAAAATTATTCAAGAATATTCACTTACCTCTAATCAAATTTGAAATAAGGTTTAGTTTAGAGTTTTTTTTTTTTTTTTTTTTTTTTTTTTTAATTATTTTTTTTTTTGTTTAATTAAAGTTTTTTTTTTTCTTGTTTAATTAACTTTTTTTTTTTTTTTTGCAATTAGGATAAAATAGGTTTCATCATAGAGCCTGGACTTCAAAAAGTTATTGCAAAAAAAGGCATATGTCAAGTCTATCAGGTTTCACATAATAGCTCTTATAAATATATTTTAGTATGTCCAACTATTTTAGCTACTGGGAATATATCACACTATTGTTTATTTTTAAAGAAAAATGATTAATTCTAGATCTTCTAAAAGGTACTCCTGCTAGCTTCATCATAGGATTTACTGAGACAAGATACATGTAAAAGAGCCTGTTTCAAAAATATATTAAATATTTTATTAATTTAATTTCTCCTATATACACTATTTTATTAATTTTAGATAGTCACAAAAGTTATATTAATTACAGTAGTATCAATTACTATTATGAGAATAATATTCTTCTTTATATACTCTATCTATATACTACTCATATTTTATAGTTAGCTGAACTGCTTTTTGCTACACTAAAAAAAAAGTTCTAAATTAATAATAATAGCAAGCTTGTAATAAAGTATATATTTGCTAGAGTTCTGGAGTTATTCTATAATGATATACATACCTACTACAATATATAATATCTTTAAAGCTACAGAAATTTGGCTATTCAATCTAAGTGCTATTAGTTCAGACTGTCTGAAGTCCTTATTAATAACAGAACTACTATTTTTTTCATTTTTGCTATCTTTTTCATCTTTATTATCCTCTTTATTATCTTTGTCTTCAAATTTTTTATCATTATCATCTTTTTTATTTTCTTTATCTTTATCATCTTTGTTTTTGTTATCTTCATTCTTATCTTTATTAAAGTTGAATCCTACAGAAGAAGAATTAAGATTAAAGATTGAGTCACTAAATAAAAAGGTTTAATATTTAGAAGAGGAACTTGAAACCTTCAAAAATTTAGGTACAATCTCCTTATAGCTCATGCTCAAATATCCTTTATATCATAATTTACAACTAACTATAAATCTAAAAGTTAAAGAAAGAAAACTAGTTCAAAGATTTTATAACAGAAAAAAAGAAAAACTATATCTGTTTCTTAATTTCTTACTAACAAAAAATCTTTGTAATAGTTAAAAGAGGTAGAGGAAGGTCTAGCGATCTTAGTGTAGTGGTTAGGTTGCCAAACTGCTATACAAGAGGTTTGGGGTTCAAATCCTACTATCGATAAATTTGAATAATTACCCGGACCTTTGTACCCAACTTACAGTAAACTCTGTTCGTTTCTGGAGTTGTAACTATGTAAATCACGTTGCACCAATATTATCCAGATATTAGAAGTGTGACAAGGTGTTTGAAGAGATATAACGTTACATGAATAAATCTTAATAGGATCTACAAGCAGAGGACCTGCATAGTAGAAATCCCGAGTTGGTGAAGTAGTACAGCTTTTGATAGTCACACTAGCTAACGCTTGATCCAGAAGGATAGTGTGCTCAAAGACTTTGATCGGGTTAGATACGCATAAGTCCATATCGCAGTAGGAATCGCTATATATTACAGTTACACCAACCTGGCTTGGCAGCTAACTAGATTAGGAGAATCTAACTCATGATACGCCTCAGTGAGATCTTAAAATGATACTGGTAGAGAGCTACAGTAGGAATTGGAGTTGTATGAATATCCACAAGGGTCTAAACTAGGTGAGTTCGTGAAATAGGTACAGGCTATTCTAGTAGGTATGCTTCGAGGTTAACTGGCTCTGCAGATATTTACAATATATTGAGTATAATATAACCTGAGAGGACCTAAGCTGAAGTCGATAAATAGATCTGCAACGAACTAGCTAGCATAAGCGGTTAGATGTTACAGTGACATTAGTTTGTAACAGTATAAGTTAGTTGAACAGTGTTTAAATAGGTAACTCACAGGCAGGTTACAGGTATAGCAGTATAGTATAGTACTAACAGATAGTCTAACACCTGCATAGCAGACTACTTAAATTAGACAATAACTAAAGTTGTACATGTAGCTTGTTGTATACTCTTCATGTAATTACAAACTGTAGAAGAACTCCATGTGGGACCTCAGATATCAAACTAATAAAATTTGCTTAGCAATGTAAGCCACCTTAATAACAAAAAAAAAAAAAAAAAAAAAAAAAAAAGTAATTTAAGTATTATCTGAAAAGGCAAAATTAAAGACCTACATTAGTTTCATTATTAAAATATAGCATTCTATTAAGAATAGTAAAATTATCTAAAAGAAAGGTTCACTTACAAATGATTTAGAGACAAAAAAAAACTAAGAACTAGCATTAAGCAGAAACTTCAAAAACAGATAGTAGCGATGATGATAAGTTTAATGATGACGAGTTTAATGATGATAAATTTAATAATGCTGAATTTAATAATGATAAATTTAATAATAATAAATTTAATGATAACAGATTTAATAATGAAGAAGATAGCAATGCAGAAGTAAGTATCATAGAAGTCGAAGAAGCGAATAATGCTATTACAAAGCTATTGTAAGCAGTTCCAGAAATAACTACATATTAACTACTTACATATATTAGAAATTCAGTAAGAACCAAATGAATACAAAGACAAATACAGCAAAAAGCTGCAGTTAGAACACCAAAGCTAAAACTATTTGGTCACCAGTAAGTTATTTTCAATAAATCTAACTATGTAATAAGCTATTTATAATTTTAATTTTGAATCTTTTTTTTAAAAAAAAAAGATAGTAAGTGCATATACGAGTATAAACGATATTACTATTGGTTCAAATAGTAACTCTGAAATTTCTGAAAGTGATTTTGAAATTGAACTCACTGAAGTCTATAATATTAAGTTTCCTGAAAACTTAGATGATACTATTAAACAATTAGAAAAAGAAGTAAAAAGTAATAAGCATAGTAAGATAGAGAAAGCTCACCTCTACGCAATGCTATCATATTTTTATCTTGTAAAATATAGCTGAAAAAGGGTTGAGGCAAGCATTATTGTAGCAGAAACTGTCAGGAAGAGTGTTTATCATGCTTGTTGTATATGTGCATAGGCAATAAATTATATTCAGAATAGTACATTTCTAATTTCAAGACAAGGTAAATAAATATGTTGATGTCTATAGTTTGTTCATGTTCATGCATTTGTAGTTTTAAATACTATATAAAAACATATGATTATATATAAAATTTGAATATTAAATAATTTTAATTAACATTAAATAAAGTTGCTATAGTAGGCTTTGAGTTATTAATTTTTTTTTGTTAACAACTCTAAAGGTAAACATTTAAAAACTTAGAGTTTCTTATAGGATGATGATATTTTGATGCAGATTAAGTCCTTTCTTAGATCAAATAAATGGAATGTCAATTTATATGAACTGGCAATACATGTAAATGAGGTAATACTCCAAGCCTTTGCTTTGATCTATCACCAACAATAAGCATAAGAATAGCTAGAAAATAGTTAAAAATATTTGGATTTGAATATTCAGAGGTTAGAAAAGAAGTATACATAGATGGGTATGAGTATGCAGATATGATAGCTTATCGTAAAAGATTTTTAGAGAGAATAGCAGAATATGAAGTATGAATAGTAGTTTTTTCTAGTAAAAATATAGAAGAAGAAACTCATCCAGCTTGGTATTATGAGACTATTATTTTAGTAATACACAATAAGTGTATCTTTTCAGTATATAATAGAAGGCATTGGTTTTGAATGCCAAAAGAGAAACTACTACTTTATAAAAAAGGCCAAGGAAAATCAGTTTATGTAAGCAAATTTCTTACTGATGTTAGTGGACATTTAGTATTATATGACGAAGACAAGGTATTGATATAATGCACTTTTACTTTACTTTAATTAATTTTTTTTTATAATTAGAAAACACTAATTGAAGATCTATAATTAGGCTGCTTTTTCTAACCTTCCAACAGAAGCTTGTATTATAATTTATCTGAGTAAAGATGATAACAAGTGGTGGAATTCAGATGATCTTATAAACCAAGTAAAAAACTATACAATTCTAATATTTGAAGCTCAGTTTTCAGATACAAAAGCTCTTTTTGTATTCGATAATGCAACTAATCATTGTGCTTATACTAAGGATGCTCTTTTAGCAAAGAACATAAATTTATCTCCAGGTAGCAAATAACCAAAAATAAGGTTTATACAATATATTATTTTAAATACTTTTCTAATATATTACTTTATCAACACTTACTTGTAAGCACAATACATCACCTACAATCAATTTACGGACATGTTTGTTACAACTATAATAATTTCATTTTTAGATAATTCATTTGGGTTTGGGTTAAAATTCTGACAAACAGAATCTCAACAAACAAAATCCTGACAAAAATTAATTAACACTATATTAACTCTAACCCTAATATAGACTAATCTGTTAGGATATTGATCTTATCAGAATTCTGTTTGTTAGGATTTTGTTTGTTAGAATTTTGACCAGCTTCTATCTAATTTTACAAACAGCTCATTTTACTAAGTTTATTTTTATAAATTACCTAACTCTAATTTAACTTTAATTCTAATAAGCTATCAGTAAAATAACTGTTAATAAAATGAACTTTCCTAGAAATTGATTGTCTGTAAAATAAACAAGTTGGTAAATTGATTGTAGGAGAATTATTGTGTTTATAAAATAAATAGTACCATATGTTAATATTTGATACTTTACTCAAATATATAGAAGTACTACATATAGAGATAATATTAAACAGGATATGTATTTTCTTGAAGATTACAAAGATCATGATTTGTGTAGTAAACCAAAAGGTTTGATAAAAGTTTTGAGTGAAAGAGGATTGTGGTATAATAGAATAAAATTAGCATGTAAAGGTGAGTGTGAACAAGAAAAGACTAATTGCTGCACTAGGACTATAATAGCAAATCAACCAGATTTTAGAGCACAACGTGGAAGGCTTGAAGAGTTGATAATTTCTGCAGGCCACAAAATCATTTTCTATTCAAAGTTCTATTGTAAGTTAAATTATATAGAAAACTTTTGAGGATCAGCAAAACGATATACAAGAAATAATTATGATTATACATAGGGAGGATTGAAGAGAACTATACTACAAGCTCTTGAATTAGTATCTCTTATTGCAATTAGACGATATGCTCGAAAGACTTTTAGATATATGAATATGTATTGCAAAGGTGTGACAGGAAAAATTGCTGAGTATACTGTGAAAAAATATTGATCACATCACTATATTCCAGATACAATTTTATATAAGATTCCAGATACAATTTTAGATGAAATTAATATATTAAACAATAAATAGGTTTTTTAATATTAATTTTTGTTTTTGTCTATTATGATAATAAAATAAACTTATATTTTAATACATTTATTTATGTTAATATCAATTAAATATTAATTAAAATTGGCAATAACAAGAAAATATAAAACATTTATTTATTATAAAGTCTAGAATACTAAATATTTGATATAAAGTTTCAAATCAGAATTTGAGTTATAGAATCAATATCTGATATAATTTATTATCAGTTATCTGGCAAACTTATATGATCATAAATTTATTTCTTGCTGTTATTTTTTCATGTTTTATGACATAATCATGTTTATTTAGCAGACAACTTCTTACTACGTAATCATAATAATAAATTGCAAATTTTCAAATATGGTAATTTGACAAATGATTTGCTACATATGCCTCTTTGTGCTATATATTCATTTGCCAAACTACCATTATTCAAAAATTTTTACTCAATGATGTATACTTATCGAAAATTTTCTGAAAAAAATTATATATTCGTTATATAATTATAGCGTTTATTTTTCTAGAATTCTCTTATTAATTAAAAAGTGCAAGAACTGTATATATATCTTTTTTGTATTATTCAATAATATTTTTTATTTAACAACTATAGTTTATGTACCAATATAAAAGTATAAAAAAATTTGTTAGATTTTATATTTTTACTTAACTCGACTAAATTATAATATATATAATGCCAAAGTAATATATGTTATCTAAGCAACAAATTTTAAACTATACAATATCATTATTATCTATTCAGAAGCTTTTAGTTTGTAATATTTAATATTGATTTTATAGGTTTATAAAGTAAAAGTATATTTTAAATTTTGATTTTCTGCAATTTGATTGGCTCCGACCTAAATTTAGTCCGATTTAGGCTGAGATAAAATTTGGCCGCCTATTATAGAACTTGTTGATTTAAGGATTCCTGCACCGTAGTTTGATGATCACCCTAATGTTACAAGTTTTGAGGATTTTATTTTTGGTGCACCCTTATCACGTGACTAATTTCGCAACATAATAAAACGATAATGCAACGAGTTTACTAATTTCTCCCCACACTTTACTATCGGAGTACCATAAAATTGATTAATAACATAGATACTCCGATATA